GAGGTGTCGGGGCCCGAGGTGTCGGGGGCCAGGGGGCGCCGGGGCTGTCGCAGGGACACAGCGCCGCTCCGCTGCTGGCTGAACCTGCCAAGGGCAGAGCGGGAGCCCCCTCCCTCGGCCGCGGCACAGACCCCGGGCCCCAGGCCCTGGGCTGGGCTCCAGGACCGGGCAGGACCCTGCTGGGCGGCGCTGCTTTCTGCTGGGCTCCAGCACGGAGCGACACGGTGCCACCTACGAGGCCTGCGGACAAAACCGTTCGCAGCCCAGGAACGGCCAGTGCCGGGACTGCGGGCATCTGGGCCCTGACAGCAGCACAGCGAGGGCAGGCGCCCGCGGAGGAGCCAGCCCGCGAGCCCACGGGGCCGTCAGCGCGCCCGTGCGCCCTCCTGGGGAGGCGAGGGGCTGGGGACCGCTGGCGCTCGCTCGCGGCACCCCAGACCCACCAGCTCCCGCGATCCGCGCCTGGCACCCCACGGGCGCTCGCGCTCCCTCGGCAAACGCAAACCCGCCCTCTAATCCCTCTCCTGCTGCCGGGGCATCGCTGGTCGGGCTGGTAAACCTCGCCCTGCCGCGGGCAGGTACTGGGCGCTGGTGAGGCCGCCCCTCGAGTCCTTGTGCTCAGCGCTGGGCCCCCACCCCAAGGCGGCCACGGAGGGGCTGGAGCGTGGCCAGAGCAGGGCAGCGAGGCTGGGGCAGGGGCTGGAGCCCAAGGCTGGGGATACCTTGTGTTTCCAGCTCAGGATCTGGAGAAATAAGATCAGGACAGGCTGAGGGGAGCCCTCGTCGCTCTCTGCAACTGCCTGAAAGGAGGCTGGAGCCGGGGGGGGTCAGTCTCTTCTCCCCAGGAACAAGCGCTGGGACGAGAGGGAACGGCCTCAAGCTGCGCCAGGGCAGCTTTGGGTTGGGTATTAGGGAAAACTCCTTCCCCCAAAGGGCTGTCAGGCCCTGGCCCAGGCTGCCCGGGGCGGGGGCTGAGTCCCCATCCCTGGGGGGATGGAAAAGCCGGGGAGATGTGGTGCTTGGGGACATGGGTTAGCGGTGGCCTTGGCAGCGCTGGGTTGACGGTTGGCCTCGATGACCTTAAGGGTCTTTTCGAACCCTAACGATTCCATGACTCTGCGATTCTGTGACTCTCTCTCGGGGTTTTATCCCCGGTGCCTCTGGAGCCGACAACGTCCCCGCTCACGGTTCGCACGCCCACCAGCCGAGGAAGCGTAACCAAAGAAACGAAGTGGCCGACGCCCCACGCGCGCCGCTTCCCCCGCCTGCGTGAGCCGTCCTCCCTGCACGGAGCACCCTCGCACCAGGAGCTGCCGCCAAGGCCGCTGCCGTGGGAGGGGGGCGGGTGCCGCGGGCGACGCCGTTCCAGCCGCACGGCCGCGCCGCCGCGAGCCCCGGTACCCGCAGACCGGAGCGGCTCTCGGGTCCGTGCCGGCTGCCCGTGGGCTGGGGGCGTGCGGGACAAGAGCCCGTGCTGTGCACGCGCAGAACAAGGTCAGAGAACAGGAACGGCCGCACGTGAAAGGGGAGGGAAACTTCGGCTCCCGCG